AAATTGCTAATGGCTGCAATCAAAAGGCTAATTCAGAATTAGTGCTGGTAACCCTTTTTTTTCTAGAAGCATGAATGTTTTTTTTTTTTTTTGGTCTAAAGCATGAATGTTTTTCAATTGATGCTAAAGACTATATATATATATATATGTGTGTGTAAAACAAAGAAAGTAAATATGAGTCTGTTCTGTAGAAGATAAGATCATTAAGTAATGTTTAGAGGCAAAGGAGATCACTCATATATTTACATATATAATAAAGACTTTTTCTGCATGCATGTCAATTCTCTTTATTTGATTGTTTATGGTAAAAATGTGTTTGTTTATGGTCTGAATCTGAAGTCAAAGACTTGTAAATCTGAGAGGTTCCCAAGAGCCAAAGACTTGTACTAGTCATTTTTAACCTAGAAGATGCCCTTTGTGGTAGATTTTGCAAACTTGCAAACAAAAAGGAAAAGAGAGAGAGAGAGGACAAATTTCTTCTTTAGTTTTCTTCTTATTCTTTGCCATAACGCCCATTCCGGGACAGGTTGGAAGAGGAATTCCTAATTCTTACACGGATGAGACTGATCACACCTTATCAGTGAAAAATTCTGACACCAATCATTTTCGAGTGAGTATTACACCAAGAATTAATTGACAAGCGGATGAGTTTTCTAGTTGGCTATGTTGAACAAGTGTGTATGTGTTGTCTGCCAGTGCCACACTGCCATACAACACTGAAAAGCCATGAGAGCAAAAGTCCATAGTGTCACTTCACACATGTACCATTCCAATCTACAAGCATGCAATTTGACCATATCTTTATTACAACTTTATCTATTCTGTCATGCCATTCCAATTTTCCAAAGCTTGGGCACAAAGTCTTCTTCAATTGTACTATTGACCAATTGATTATGGTTACAAGGAAGATTGGAACGCCTGGAAATATTTAAAATAATATTTACAGTTGCGGAGAGGCATTATATTAAAATTATCGTTCATCCAACAATATATTTATTTTATAAAAAATAATAAATAAAAAAAGATAAGACAAACTAATGAGAAGGGAGGAGCGGAAGAAGAAGAAGCAGCGGAGAAAGTAATTTTAACTCTTAAACCACTGAGAAGAATATCCATGCATGCAGGGCATGCATATTGGGGGTGGAACCCCGAACACCATTTTCTAGGGA